TGTGTAAAGAGAGAGAGAGGAAGGGGAAGGGGAAAGGGCAGGAGGGGAAAAGAGGAAAAGAGGGGAGGAAGTGGAAAGATAAAAAGAAAAAAAGAGAGAGAGGGAAGAGAAAAGAGGGTATTGAAATTAAGAGAGAAAAAAAAGACATGGTATGAGAGGAAAAGAGGGGAGGGAGTGGAAAGATAAAAAGAAAAAAAGAGAGAAGGGAGGGAAGAAAAAGAGGATGATGAGAGATAAGTGGGAGAATGTGAGGGAAAAAAAGAAAGATGGTAGTATGTGTATAAGGGGAAAATATTAAAGGAGGGGAGGACGTGTAAAGAGAGAGAGAGAGGAGGGGGAAGGGGAAAAGAGGAGGAAGAAGTGTAAAGAAAAGAATAAAAAGAGAGAAGGGAGGGAAGAGAAAGGGAAAAGGAAAAAAAGGGTGTTGAGCGATAAGAGGGGAAATATGAGGAAATAAAGAAAGATGGTATGAAAGGGAAAGAGTACAGGAGGGGAGGAAGTGTAAAGAAAAAAGAAAAAAAGAGAGAAGGGAGGGAAGAGAAAGGGAAGGAAAAGAGGGTGTTCAGAGATAAGGGGGAATATGAGGAAAAAAAAGATGGTAGTATGTGTACAGGGGGGAAAGAGTTAAGGAGGCGAGAAAGTGTAAAGATAAAAGAAAAAGAGAGAAGGAAGGGAAGAGAAAGGAAAAGGAAAAGAGGAGAAAGAGAAAGATGGTAGGGTGTGTAATGGTATAGGGGTTGAGATATCAGGGGGAGGGGACAGTATGAGTATAAGTAGAGAAAAAGAAGAATGAAAGAAAGAGAGGAAGTGTATGTCATTTGTGAATGGAAGAGAAAGGAAAAAGAAACGATAGATTTTAAGAAAGAATGTGAAATAAAAAAAAAATGAAGAAACGAAAGCATGACGAGGTGGAGAAGAAGAAAGTATAGAAATAAGGGAAACGAAAATATAAAGGAGGATTTAGGAGAGAAGATTATAATATAATTAGTAAAATGTCGCTGTTTCTCTGCCGAGATATCATCAGAGTAAAAACCTGCTTATATATGCATGAATCAAAAATCTTTTCATCACTAAATAGCAGCAAAAATTGGCAAAAAGTTCTCCACTAAAAAAATGACACTTCAACATACAGTTTACTACAGTGTGTGGATGTCATGCTCTACTTCTACAGTCTACGACAAACCGGCAGTATTGTACAACTCGCTCAGACCATCAAGCCCAGAAATGGAACAATGTACCAGTAAAATGCGCATGGAGTCAGCTTAGGGATTCCAGTCAGCTTATATACTAGCATTATGAAATAAACCAGTCCAAGGCATACTTTGAGATATGACTATATTCTGTATAAATGACAATTACTAGCTTGTTATAAGAGTCGACCAGAAGTCTAATGAGGTATCTCTCGGTAAGTACTGGCCAGCAGGTATTTTAGCAAGGCCTTATAAGTCTTAACTATCATAGATAAACATACAAAAATCTAGAGGCTGAATCTCCATGACTGATATCACTGATCCATGATAAAAAAGCAAGCGTGATATGAGCGGTTGTACGCAAGACCTGACATGAACACTGAAGCTAACAATCTCTATAATGAATATTTTCTCTCTCTTCTTCATGGGAAGCCAAGCAACATTTCATTAGTTTAGAGAACTTGTCAGCAGCAGGTCACTTCGAATCAGGGTTCACAATCTACGAGCAGACAGGCAAGGGATTGGCCGATCTCCTGGCCGGTAACTACCAGGGGAAAGCCGGTGAACAAGACAGTTATTTTATCAGGAAGATTTAGGCTTAGGGTTGCACGATGTAGTAGCGACCGTTAATGTAATACCTCACATGGTTTGTTATTTTTTTTCCTGCTTAGTTATGCTGAAGTTGTTAACCACAGGAAGAGCTGATATGGCAACATATATATATATACATTGTTGGTGTTTTTTTTTGTTCTAAGTAAATCTGGTAATTCACTGCAGCTCATCTGTATCGGTTATGGAGAGAATCATAGTGATGAGGTCATTTTGTGATTCATGATTCACTTCCATTGACAAGAGAAGATATAACGAGCAATGTCCATTCCACTTCTAAATCTAGGCTCATAGCGAGGGGGCTGACCTGAACAATACAGTTTTCAAGCACAGAAGAGCTTTAGATATGAATCTGGTGGGTTTAGAAGAGAACATTTGGCAAGAGAGTCACGACAGCCAGCTACTCTGGCAACTACAGTCCATTCTTATGAATCAGCTCGAAAAGAACGGAGAGGAAAAAATGATTTCTCCTTTACTTTTGACTAGCAACAAGCCCTGCATCCGTAAAGATTCGTAAGGCTTACTTGGGCTGCTGGTCAGTGCCTTGCTGTAGTAGGCTGCCCATTGTAAACCATAGCGAATTGTTGAGACTGAACTGATTTTCCATTGACTTTTCTTCCTCTTCTCTGCATGGAAAGGATGTGATCCATTCATAGGGACTTAACCTGTGGAGTAAGGGCACAGAATCGGACATTTGGTAT